AAGTTGATTTTTTTGTTCTCCTATCATCTTCTATAGGTGTCTTTGGATTCCCAGCGCTTCTTGAGTTCATCTCTCAACATTCGTTTTTTCTTACGGTTCTTGTTGGAGGAACACTTTTTGCTTTTATTTTGTTTCTGCTTGGACTCCTATGTTTCTGCAGGTAAAAAAATAAGTCTTTCACCTTTATTTTAGTCTGTTTATTTTAGTTTTTTATCTGAAAATGTTGCACAGATGAACACCACCCTTTTTAGTAATTTTCTGTTAAGTTTAGGTTTATGGTGCTTCCAAATTGTACATGTTAGAATTGTATCTTTTTTCTTTTTGTTCTAGGATGTGTTTCCAAAAATGTTAAAAAAAAAAAACAATCCACAGGACTTTGTTTCCAAGTTTGAAGATGTTTCGCTTCCCATCCAGGAAGCCTTTTTTAAATTAAAAATGTCAAAAATAGGATTGATTTCGATGCTTTATAGAGTGGACCAAAAACTGAGCCTTGTGTGGCTTAGAAAGCATGCAAATTGAACCTGATGAATGGGATTAGGAATGGGCAGGACGTGTGTTCAACTTAAAAAAAACATTAACTGAAACTTCGGCCTTTTGTCTCTGCTGACATTTTTTATTTTTTTTTAATATTCAGTTTGAGAAATTTCCCCTTTAAGCACTTTAATAGGAAAATATGGTCATGTTCAGTAAACTAGAGCAGGTTTCTGTTAAGGCCAGTTTGCAAGATGAAAAGTAGCTTTTGAAAATATCCTTTTGTCAGGTAATAACCATACTTTTTATTAAGCACACATTCTGTAATAAAGTGCTTTTTTAATTGGACTGATGTAATGTTCTCATTTCAAATGCTTTATTCTGATCAGCTGTAAACAGCTAATCACAATTAACAGAAATAATGGCTTGCAAGCACATTTGCATGGAATTAATCTATTTACTGTTTTCAGCTTTGTAATGGTGTTACGGAAAAATGAAATTATGTTTAAGAAAAAAAATTTAATTCTTTAATATGAGTTCAGGTGCAATTGATATAATTTATTTAGCATTCAGCTCAGTCCAAAAACAATCAGTCATTTCCTGAAAGTTGAGTTAAACAGTTCTTACAGTCCAGCTCAATCCTCTCTATAGGTTTCTCCTTCTATACTCTTCTGTTCACTCTTAATATTCATTCTTTGATATGTTTCTTAAGAAGGAAAATCAAAATTTTTTTTGGTGTTAGCAAAAATCTTTCAATACTTTATGATCAAGACTTCTTTAAAAAATGGGAGGAAAATCCAACTGCTTGAAGGGAAAATGCTAGCCTCATGAGACCATCCCGATCTCGCGAGCTTTCAAGGTTTCACTCGCAGATCAGTCTGGAGACTCTCCGTTAAAGAAAATTTGGAGCCGTTCACCAAACGAACGTCCAATCAGCGTTGGCTTTGAGGCGGGTTGAGGTGTGACGCAATGAGAAGCGATACAGTTCAGTCTAAAGAACATGGCGGCTTCAGCCGATGAAACTAGCGTTAGCGTGGCTATCGAGCAAGTTTTATCGGAATTACAGAGTATTTCTTCACTGAAAGAAGAGCAAAACACTGCTCTGGAGGCTTTTCTCAGAGGAAAAGATGTTTTTGCTCTTCTTCCGACTGGTTTCAGCAAGAGTAGCCTGGCTTGTGGTTGTGTTTTCGTCGTTGCTCTGTTAGTACGTCATATGCTTCGTTGATCTGATTGGTTTATTTGGCCCGTCTATCACCAACATAGGCCAATCAGCTAACCAGTATTTTCGCCCCTTCCCAAAATTACTTCAACGGAAGGTTTCCAGATGGAAATGTGGAGCAAATCCATCTGGCGTAGTCAGGTTAGGAAAATGCAGACAATTGCAAGATTATTAGATTAGATTAAGATTTTTGTACAGTGATGTATTTCCTTTACATTTCTTTCAAGAGTCAGTTATTGAAAATACAAGCTTTAAGAAATCTTAATAAGTCTGTTTTTTATTTGCAGAAGGAAAATCCTTAAAAACAAAACTAGAAAGGCGTCAACAGTGATGAGAAAAGACCAAACCACCTCCACAGTTCATGACGAGGAGTCTGAAGCATCCTCAGCCTTACAGCATGCTGATGGAGAGAACCAACGTTCAAACCGGTGCCTCGATTCCTTCCTTACAATGAAGAGCGGAGAGGTGATCGCCAACCGTGGCGCTGCAGCGGTTCCATCAGAGTGTAACACGCTGGACGTTATTAATATGACCTCAGAACAAACTCAAGTCCCTTCATGTCACCCAAATGGTTTGTTCTTCTACAACCAACCTTTGGCCATCCTTCCTGCTCCAGCATTTTTTCACTTGGAGGAACATCCGGAGCAGGTCGATTGGAGCAGGTCAGCCACTCTGCCACGGGTCGGAGCTTCAAACGGAGCTGCTGCAGAGCCTCAGAGGAAAGAAAGCTTCACCCAGACTTTCCACACCGAGGACCAGCTCCAAAGTTCTGAGGGCTCTCCAGGACCATCTAACACATCCAGAATGCCCTTCAACCTCCCAGAGTCGGCCTCTGTACCAGGAACGCTGAATAAACTGGCTGGAAGCAGACATTCTGTCCAGGCCATCACAGGTTTATCTAAAATCCCTTCTCCTCAGCCTCCACGGGCCTGGTTCGTCTCCCTGGAGGGAAAACCAGCCGCAGAGATCCGGTACGCCGTGTCGGAGCAGCAGAGGAGACGGAGGCCCATGGAGAGTCGAGAAACGAGTTTGGACTCAGGAGTGGACCTAAGCGAACTCAATCAGTCGACTGGAAGGAGGCCTGTAACTCTGGAGAGAAACGCCACATTCATTAAAAGCCCTTCCAGTAACAAGCACGCACCTCAAGAGTAAAAACTGGGTTTTATCAGAGTTACAGGTTTATTTTTCACATGGGGATTGACCACAGTGCAGAAAGACTGACCATACAGATCACAACAGCTGCAACTCAAAACTCCTACTGTACATCAGGCATTGTTTAAGCCTTTCAAAGTCATGCCTTAACCATTAGGTATTAATTTATGAAATATAGGTGCTTCCTTCCAGCCCCAAAGAAAAATACTTGCCTTTAAAACGAAGCCAGCTCTCCTGTCTGGGTTCCTCCGTTTCATTACATCACAAATTTCTGAAGGTTAAATAAGTTGTAAACTTACGATTTTCCTGACTTAGAAGTCAGCTAAAATAGAGAAGCTGCTTTCCTGTGCAGATTAGCTCCTAAAAGAGGTAACCTGCATCTTATAGGTTATAATGGAGGATGTTCTTTTTTTGGGTTGATCATCAAAATAATTGGTCCTCCTTATTGTCAATCATTCTGGTGATATGTTTACGTAAGGTCATCCTGTGTTTTGTCCCCATGTTCACTTACCGGTGGTGGGTCTGACATCTTGGAAAAATTGCAAATCTCCTTTAGGACAGCAAGCTTGTATGAGCGATGCAAACAGTGAAGGAACTGAAAGAGTCAATTACCTAATAAGATTACACATCAGAAATAAAACCAGGAGCTGCTTATATCTGGATTTTGTGTTTAAGAAACAAAGATCAGGAACTACTTCATATTTTATGTATTTATTATATTTTGGGTGTTCCATTGTTAACAGTAAACAGCAAGTCAAAAATCATAAAGCAGAGCAAATCTTAATAAAAACTTCTAAAAGTGGCTGAAAATTACTCACTAATAACATTACTTATAAATCAGTGATGAAATTAGAGATATTTCTCAGGAATATTTGATCAATGTAAGGTTTCTGCTCATAAAATAATTTTCAGTAGACTATGTCCAAACTCATTTTTATAATTCCATGATGTTGGACAAATACAACCTGTTTATTTACTTAGTCTATTGAACTAATATTTATCATATTTAAATTCATGAAGTTAGGATTAATTAATTATTAGACAGATATGTGGTTCATTTAACCTCTTAAAACTCGCCATGTCGCCGGCGACCCGGTGGACCTTAAGTCGGGGTAATAATTCAGAATGCATAAAATTTCCATCGGTTAAATTTTTACCAGCAGGTGGAGCCATTGTGCGCAGCTCCAAGCAGACACCAAAAGTTCAAAGCCCCACTGCTCTGGAACTGTTATAGCAAGAGGTCTGACATTTTCTGAATTTTTGGTTGACGATGTAAAACAAAGATAATACAATAAAACATTTTTCTCAAGTATGTCTTTATTACTGCTGTAAAAAAAGACCAAGAATTTCCGAGAATAAAAAGACAACAACTTTGAGTCATGTTTGAACTGATGCAGGTTGGACTGTGTTCTAGACACCCAATTTTAATTTATATATTACGAAACTAGAGGGTGTTAGCTTTCAAATAATGCACTGCACATGTAATTTGGGCTTGCAGTTAACCTGTATTTTATCAGGCTTTTGAACTTTAGCATTAAATAATCATAGGCTTCACTTTCAGTTCGTCACCCCAATCTATTGACTTTTTTTCTACTACTGGAGACTTTTGTGTCAAGCATATAAACTCTGTTTAGAGCAAGTTGGTAACCCTGCCTCCTCTTGTCTGCTGTCATGATTCATGCAGCTATTTTTTCATTCGAATGAAAAATGGAGGATAGATAAGCAGATCATGGCTTGTCTACAGTGAAAAAAGGGACTGGGTTATTTACTTTTGCCGTCGCCTTTTTGGAAACACAGGAAGGAGCAATCAGCTAAGTGAGCTTAGTGCTTGGAAAACATCTTTCATTCCTTTTAAGACAGCATGAAAAGTCAGCCGAGTACAAAAAGATAGAGAGGAAAACAACAAGAAAAGGGACAAGAAGAAAGGGACAAAACCTAGAACAAATAATGTATGTTTGTTGTATTCTATTAACATTTCTGTATCTGTATAATGGGTGTTTTATGTGTCTTCTCAATTCAGAGGGGCCCCTGCCTGTCTATGCCTAGGACCCCAGATTTCCTAAATCCGTCCCTGGCTGGATGCAATTTGCGCTGACGCACCAATGAACTGCTGCAAATGAAGCTATGAACAGGAAACAACGTGTACTTTTTTTTTCTTTCTTTTTTTTCTCTTTTGAAAATGAAACTTTTCTTCACTTTCGGTTTCACCGCTGAAAGGTAAGAACTCCTTTTACAGACTTTTAAACAGGTTTTAGTGTATTATGCAGATGTTTGTTAATGATAATGTTTCCAGTTAGATAAGCTGTAAAGACAATTCTGGTTAAAGAAAAACTTTTACTATAAACAAACTGCGTGTAGATCCGATCCGTCGTTGCGGTTTAATTATCTTTTCTCTAAGAAAACGGGCGGAAATAGAAAAATATAAGCAGAAGTTATTAAAAGAAGAACAGAACCTGAAACTCTTTCTGTCCTTTTAAACTATTTCAGTATTTGTTTAATCAGGGTATCTGACCAGCAACCTCTGAGAGCCTTCAGACATGGAGCGACTAAAATCTTACCAGGACCAATTAACAGGGTGGCTCTCAGCAGACACTGAGCACATCCTCAATAAGAGTGGAGACATTTTAAGTGTCAATGAATATAAAGACATCATTAAGAAGCCAAGTGAAGAGCAGATGATCTGCCTTCTGAGAACAATCATTGAGAAAGGAGAAGAAACCTGTGAGAAGTTCACAGAGATCCTGAAGAAGAATCAGGATCATTACCATCAGCTGAAGGAGTTTTTTAGCTGCTCCTTAAAGGGTCGGTAAAAGTTTCCTTTTCTGCTTACTTTTTGTTTCTCTATTTATTGGGATTTCCTCCCTATTAATTGTTGCATTTGTTGTTTCATTAGTTATCAAATTAAACGGTCTCTAGAGCAATTAATAAGTGGGGACCTTGCATATGTACAGTAAGAGTTAAATGATTTCCTTAACCCTTTATAGGTCCCTCAGTGAAAAACTTTGAAAATCCACATTGCAAGCCAATAGTGTTATTGGAATCCAGGAAAAGACCTTATTACTAGGGATGCACGATATAATCGGCCCCCTATCGGTATCGGCCTGTATCGGCCTTAAAACTGAATATCGGACATCGGCCACCCCACCGATATTCAACCCGATATTTGATCAGCTTCTGAGTTTCTAAAGTCTAAAAAAAAAATAATAAATACTACTTCTTCTTTCTCAAAAACTTTTTTTTTACAGACTTAAAAACTTCTAAAGACGAGGGAAAAAATATTGATACATTAAAATATCCCAATATTTTTATATGCTGATATATTGCCATTTAAAAACACCATATCAATCTCTTTTACTAATGAAATATTGCTATATGTCATCGTTATGCTACGAAATCCCCCGAAAATCCACAAAATTTTGCCATATTTTTATATGTTGATATATTGACGCGGTATCTATCTATTCTCACAAGAATTTACAAAATATCACGAGAGTTTGTAACAGAACGATGAAATTTCACGAGATTTTGAAAGTAAAATAGATCGATACCGCGTTTTTAAAAATCATTTTGATATCAGCATATGAAAATATATTTGAGTATATTATTTTTCAAAGTGTCAGAAATTGATAACAAAACTGCTATTTTCAATGACTACTTATTTTTGTCCAGCTTTAACATCGGTATCGGTTATCGGCTACATGAGTTTTAAAATATCGGCATATCGGATATCGGCCAAAATCCCAATATCGTGCATCCCTACTTATTACCTTTGTAACATTAAAAATATGGATATCTTAATGGCAAAAATTTATGTCAATATAATATCCGGAAACGCCAACTTACCCGAATATATTAAGAAAAAAAAAAAAACAGTGTTTCTATAAGAAATGAATGAAAAACACTGTGAGAGTAAAAGAAACACATTTTTTTTTTTGGTACAACATAACCTTAGAGGCATTAATGCTGAAACTGGCGCTTACATTTTTTTGTTTATAAACCTTAATATAATAGTTAAATGGGCTTATTAACTTTTCTAACTTCACTTTTTAACTTTTAACTTTTTACCTTTTTTTCTTAACTTTTATTTTTTCAACTTCATTTCCAGTAGGTAATAAATCATTCAAGGGCTCATCTAATTGGTCAAATGCCAAAATAAGATGTACAGCCGTGCAGCAGTATCTTTGCTGAATGGCTGGATATAGATCTTGTGATTCTAGACCTCACTAAGGGAAGGGGGGGGGACTCAATTTCTAAGGGGTATGCAAGTTATCAAAAACGGTAACTTGCCTTATAAAGATTTAAGGATGTTAAAAAGGCTTCTCAGCATTCACCCAGTAGTATATCTCAGAGTAAATCACCTGGATTTGGATAGAAGATTGATGATACTATTTCCTGTCTGCAGACTCAGCTGTCCCGACAATGTTCGCTGATGGTAACAGTGTTATAACACAACGAAAGCTGTCTAATATAAAAGCAAAATCTCTTAAACTTAACGTCGAAACCGTGAGCAGCGCTACTGGAAAGTCTTCTGGTAGGGATCGATATTTATATTATTTTCAGTTTGAGTTGGTATTCTTACAGCTTGTAATCCATCTTCTCTTTCATCTAGGAAACACAATCCCAGGGGCTAATTATACGGCTACGGATGGGAGTGTTATCTTTGCTGACCAATTAGAGGGAGTCAGCGTAGATACCATAGACTTCTCAGTGAACATTAAGCAATCACGGGATCCTGCAGGTAAAAGTTTATTCTCAGATATTAAATGTTGGGTTCATATGAAACACCCAAAACTGAAGTCAGCAGACAGAACATTTGTTTTAGAAAGCTGCTTTCTGGACACTTTTATAACAAAGAATTTGTTTAATTAATAAACAAGTTGTCAGTACAAGCACAATGCTGGATTCAGGTCAGTGGGTTACACAAATTAAATTCCTTTATAAGAAGCATAATCAATACACATATAATCTCACACCACTTTTAGGAGTCATTTCAGTTAAAATTACACTGACATATTGGTTACAAATATTTAAAGAAACCCATCACATGAGGTTAGGTTGTTTACTTTGAGAATTCGCTCCTGAATGAGGATGAAGCTATAATGGAAAATCACTGGCAATGTGTTGTTGCCTTAGCTGAAAACATACAAATTCCCAGTAATCTGGGTAATGGTAACCACTAAACAGGGTTAAGGGCAATAAAAGTTTTTCGATTGCATTTTTAGTAGTTCAGTTTTTCTAAAAGCGGGTGTCAACACTTCCGCTTCAAGCCTGTTTTCTGTTTTCTAACAGGCAGAAACCTGTAGAACCGAAATTGGCGCCTTGTTCTTCTGACATGTCTGACAGAGGGAAAGCGGGCCCCCATGTCCTCCAGCATTGTAACCCCATAGCAGCATAAATACAGATTTAGCTCAAGATAGCCTGAGCTTCTCTAACTATAAGCTGTATCAAAAGAAAAGTTTTAAGCCCCCTCTTGTGGAAATATGTTTTAGTCTGCCACACAGACTAAAAACAGAATGATTAGTAAAACCAGAATGATGTCTAAAACATCTGCGTCTCATTCTACTTTTGGACATTCTAGTAACCAGGAGCAAACCTGCAGGATGGGAGCATAGTGCTCTGTTAGGGACATAAGAAACAGTCAGATCTCTGATATGAGATGCAACATTTGGATTACAATAAAATTTCCACGCCCCCCCCCAAAAAAAATACCGTAAAAATAAAAGATCAACTGGGCACACACATTGTTCAACCAGATATAATAAACCTATACACATATTTTGTTTTCAAACTCTACTGAAGTTTATTTCACACTTCAGGTTGCAACAAAACAAACTACACACCATCTTTACAGTGGAACACTTTTGTGTAACTGTATTTTTTCATAGTTCTATACTGTAGATTAGAAGAGGATTCTTTGTTGTCTGTGTTATTTTAAACATATTTGTTTTTTTTTTTAATATGTAACAATATTTAACTTTGCTATCATCAATACATTAAAGCTACAGTGTGTAATAATTACAGGGATATACAGTCAGAAATGTAATATATTATACATAACTATGTTATTTATCATCATCTACGAGTTCAGCCTCTTAACCTTAATATTTGCGTTGCCTTAGAATTCGTTATTTATAATTACATAGGAGCGGGTCTCGCAGCCATGGAGGCAGACATCTTTGCGCTACGGCAGCGCAGAGCCAACAAACTAGCGATTGCGAGATCGCCCATTACGCTCGAAAGTAACTACGGCAAGTTGAGAGAGATGAACTGAGACAGTACTGAACAATAGATGGCAGTATTATGCCTTAGAATACTATCTGTAAAATTATCTATGTAAACAAACCTCATCACTTGAGAAGGTAGGTGATGCGGACGTCGTGGAAGACATTTTGTCCCGTAACGCTCGCCGTACTGTTGGGTAGGAGAAGCGGTGGGGGGGAGATGTTCATGTTGCTGCGGTCTGGAGTCTGGACGTTAGATGTCGCTAAAATTTACACACTGTAGCTTTAAAAAAGCCTCTGTGCAAAATGGAGTGAAAACATTGAACAGCTCTCTGAGAGTTTTTTCTTTGTACTTTAATCCTCCCATCTTTTCAGTGGCTGTAGTGAGCCTGCTTGTTGCTGCAGATCTTCTCAAATCTGGGTTGCAGTGTCACAACTGTCCATTATGCTCAGTCAAGCAAGCATTGTTTTTTTTTTTTTCTTCATTCATCCATACCGCCCCACACTTTGGGAACCACTGACTTAGGGCTTTATATGTTAGAAAGAGACAATGTTGCCACCATTTGAGGTCTGGATGTGAATACTTGGTAGTAATTCTTCCAATTTTCATCTAATACAGGTTTTTACACTTACAGTACAGGACAAGTTTTCCTTGTTGCCCCATAAGGTTTTAAAGTTGCTTACAGTGTTACAACATTAGTCCTTCTCAAAGATATATCTTAATATTTATTTTTGTCCCCGCAGCTCTGCAAGGTGCTACCAACCTTTCCAATCAGGTAAAGGAATCTAATCTGATCTAAAGCCCATTTTCATACAGTAATAATCTGATGGTTCAGTCCAATGTGAATCAAAAACTGGAAAGAACTATTGAACATTAAAATATTTACTCATTCTAAAGGCTATTCGTTGTCTGTTATGTACTGTGTTTACATGTCAAGCTTTCTTCTGAATTTTGTAGGATCCTTCTGCAAAGATGATCATAAAGCACAAAGTTGAGCTGATCAGATGCCTGATGGCTGATCCAAAACACATCCTGCAGCATGTCCATCAGGAATCCATCATCACAGACAGAGAATACCAGAATCTGAAATCCTATTCCAAACCAGAGGAGGCTGTTACCATGCTGATTGACCAGGTTATCGAAAAACTTCCAGAAACATGTTGTCAGTTCCTTAAGCTTCTCCAGGATCCCAAAGTTCTGAAGGAATATCCAAAGCTGGCTGAGATCTTCATGCTTAATCCTAATGGAGATCAGTGATAAGCAGTTGAATATTACTTTATATTGATGGACGAATTACAAAGACAGAGATCATAGTTTTAATGTGTATGTGTGCTTTTCCTTTTTGAGATTTAGAGATAAATACTTTTAAAGTCTCTGTTGTCCTAGAATATGTGAATTATTTTAGTACCAAACATTCGCAAGTAAATCTCTAAATGAAAGATTTTGAAACCGTTTTGCTTTGTAAAAGTGTAAATACCAAATCTGTACTGAAGCGCTGTTAGTGGAGTAGATGCTCCTAATGGGAAGAACTACCAAAAGTGAGAGGTGTGGTTTTGTGGGATTCTAGAACCTCACAGGATATCCTGAAATTTAAAGCTGCAGTTTACAAAATTAGCCACTAGATGTCAGAATAGGAGAATGATGAGTTTAAGATCAGTTTGATGCAAAAGCAAATTTTGCACAATATTATTTTCATGTAACCAATGATTTGACAGGATAAATTTTTACAAAACTGTTAACATTACACACTTATTCTGTCATTCTAACTGTGTTTGAAAGCAGTTGTAAATTCAATGAATAAAGCTGTTTTTTTCAAATAATCAACACACTTATTTAAGGAAAGTTCAACAGTAGCCATTATAAATTTACCCACTTTACATCCTGGGCCCTTCGCTGGTCCTTGGCTGGTCCCCTACAATTCCTTTTTAAACATCAATATTTGTACTAAAATATTCTTTCTGTCATTATTTGTGGACGTTAAGATCTGAAGTGAAGCATCGTCTCCTGGTCAGACCCTGCAATTCAATGAAAGGGTGGAGTCAGAGTAAAAAAAATATGCAGGAGGTCCAGAAAGGAGGAGGTCACTCCTGTGGCTGGAAGTTGGAGGGGATTTCGCTGGGAGTTGGATGAAAATGGGGCTGCCATTTCGGCTGGCATTTGACTGGGAAAGGCCATTTTGAATGGCTGCTACTCATTAACAACTATCAGGGTCAAAGAAAAAACAAATATCTTAAACTTCAAAGGCTCAATTGCTTCCATTTTAGTCAAAGTTTATAATTCTAATGAAAGAATTATAAACTTGGCAAAATTAACCTCCATAGGGGAGCGCCAAGACAGGAATCACAGCTAACCCTAAAGAACATTTGGCAAAAATATGAGTTAATGTTTTTATAGTTTAGAGCAGGGATAACCAATTAAAAATAAGCGAGCTCTGAACAGAGAAAATCAACAACCAGTAAAGGTCCAAAGACATTTTTAATTATAATCCTTTACTTTAAAAAGAATTTAACACTGGAATAAAATGAAGGTATTTATGCATGTTGTGCATTGATTTGGGCTTAAGGCTGCCCTGCAAGGCTTTAAACCTTGGTTTGAATGGCAACAAAGCCATTCTAAAACACATATCAAGGTCCTCATTCGTGAGCCTGGATCAATATTTATTTTTACTTATGATCATGGTGGAGAATCCTGCTTCACAGCAGCAGGTTGAGTCAAACATACTCAAAATGTGCAGGGTCATCTTTGAGCACGCCATTTCACTTTTCTTTCACCAGTTCCCCCAAAGTTCTTCCAGCAGTCCACACTTTCTCTGCTCTCTTTTTCTCATCGTCTTCTCCTTTCCCATCGCCCGGCTTGCCACAGGTTTGCCTGCTGTGTCTAAAAGTAGCAGCAGCAGCAACCCAGACTGACAGCAGCTTATTGGCTGATTTGGATCACATGCAGCCTGGTCCCGGACACTCTGGAGGGCTTTACCATGCTAACATGAGAAGCAGCGCCAGTGACCTTTAGACACTGTTGTCAGACAACATGCGGCAATTAATAAATGTTTTAAATCAGGTTGGGTCCGAAGTAGTCAGTGGGTGGGTCCGCGGTCCCCTAATCCGTGACCTCTGGTGTAAAGCATTCAGCTTTTACCGATAATAGAAAAAAATCTGATAAAACATTCAGTGATACAACCTTTTTCATCTCTTTATTGTTAGAATCTAGTTAACTGAAACTAAAGGGGTAGCGGCCTAGTGGTTAGGGCATTGCTCCAGAGGTTCAGAGTTTAAGCCCCACTCCCACAGACTGACACTCTGGGCCCCTGAGCAAGACCCTTAACCCCACACTCCAGGTGCTGCACAATGGCAGCCCATTGTTCTCCAAGCGGATGGGTTTAATAAAGTGAGTTAATTTCTTTGCTCTATACTAGTGACAGTGTAATGACAATAAAAAGCTGGGAAAAAAATAATGAAAAGAAAAAAATATATATCTTGATCATTAAATGTCAACTAATAAATGTCATGTATTTAAATCAAGTTTGAAAGCAGTTTAAAATGGATATTGTAGAAACTTTTAGCTGAGTGAACCCGAGATATCAACAATTTTTACAATTTCTAAGTACTTCAGGGGTTTATAAGTCATACAGCTGTTGCCTAAATTAGCGATACCTCCCTGATGCTCATTGTTCAACCTTGTTTTAAGGCCTGTTGTCCTTTTCTTTCTTTTTAAAAAAAATCTTCTTTGCTGAATGATAAAGTCTTAAGTAGGCTCCCCCTCATCATCTGCCTACCTGTGGCTCCAGTCCAACTACAAATAATAACAGACACTGGTTTGTTCTGTCTTACCTTACCTGAGAGTTTTAGTTTTGTCTTCCTTGTCACTTCGGTCATTGACTCAACCAGAAGTATGTCATTGTTGTGACATGATCCTACATAAAAGACTCATGTACACCCTGAAGGAAAAAGCAGACTGCTGCTGTTTAAAAGCTCAACCACAAGAGGTCACAGTAGCTCAAGTTTTATTTTGGAGTCCTTCATTTAGAACAGTTAGAATTGTTTCTAATTCCTGATCAACTTTCATTTGTGTTTTTTTTTTTCTATTCACCTATTAGAGTTTAAATGAACCAGCAGGACATTAAAAAGTCCAAATGTTTGCCAGGAATCTGTGGTCAGCTCTGGTGTTTCTTAAAGAAACCTTTTAGAATGAAATTAATGAAGGGAAGTCATATTTATCTGCCCTCTGCCAGTAAATATTAAATGGACACCCATGTGCATCTGCGTTCCGCGGGGGGACCTTGGATTTCTGGCTGCGGACCAAGGAGCAGACAGTTAGTGGCTGAAAGAGTCACTTGGAATGGAAACCGTCTGACGCAGTTGGTGGATCATAAAACAACAGCAGGAGAACAACACTCTCACACCTCCTGTGAACCGACTGCTAAAACCTCACCATCATATTTCTCTTTGACATTTTTACGGCTCCAAACATCTTTTTGGAGATAAAAACACCCAGATGTGGCAAATTTGTTGGAGTCACAAATATAGAGCTTGTTGCTTTTAAAGAGGCTCATCTGCTTTTCTACTAAACACCATCATCAGCAGTAAAAAAAAATGGGTTTGGCATCATGCTTGTATTGAACTGGTGTCCAATTGAGAAGATTACGCCGAGAACATGTCAGCATTCAGTGTTTCTGGAAAGTGAACATCAGCTAATGAGTTTCTAATGTGGCAGCAGTTCACCTCCAGCAGAGACAGAAAGCCATCAAACATGATGTTGGAAGCTCTCTTATTCCTAACAGCTGCTTCCCCAAAGATAATCTTCATCCTTCATCTTCCTGTCCCCATTTCCAGTTGATGCGGACTCTGGTAACACTTGGAGCAACAGAACAGACATCGCACAGCTTCCAAAGAAACCACAAGGAGACTCTTTTTAATCTATCAATCTGTCATCAGTTGGGGTTATTAAATAGCAGATTTATGGTTTTTATGGTTCATTAAATAATATTCCTTCATTTTCTGTCATTTATAATTATTCAACTTGCATGCAAACCTTTATTCCCTCCATTAGTAAAGCTTATAGTCTGTTTGAAGCAGGGTAGCTTACTTATAATTTGGATTATTGTATTGCTCTTATCTTTTTTATGCATCACTCTTTTCTTTATGCTTTGCTTTCATGCAGTTACATATTCTTGCAATCTTTTAAAGAGGCCTTGAACAGAAATCTTGCAGACATTCTGAGCTTCTCACAAAGTTGTATTTATTCTGCTACTACATTTGTGTGAGGACCCAGAAAGCTTTAGGGCTAAAGAAAACATCTGCTAACAGCCAATCAGTGATCCCATTTTTTGGAGTAGAAAAAGCCTCGGTACCCAAGAAAACCTGGATGTCTCTTTATTAAATAAACTGGAAATAGAGCAGAGACATGGTAAATGGCATGTACACCTTTTTTCAAGTCAGGAGACTTGACCATAGCGCTTTACACTACATTCATTCACCCATTCACGCACACACTCACACACTGATGGTGGCAAGCTACATTGTAGCCACAGCTGCCCTGGGGTTCGCTGCCGTACACTGGTGCCACCGGGCGCTCTTAGAATAAATTCTTATCAGCACAGGATAGGATGCATTTGGACGATGCTGTATTAGGGCCAGGCTAGAGATTTTTTTTTTTTAAGACAAAAGTTGTAATATTACGAGAATAAAGTTGTAACATTACAAAAAATAAAGTCGTATTATTACAAGAATGAAGTCATCATACAACAACCTGTTTCAGAAAGAAAGCTTCGAGCTCCGACCACCATGTGACGGCCGACCAGCTCCACCAAACAACAACCTGAGTCCAGTTTGACATCCTGCCCAATTTGATGCTGGTGCTAAAAGATTTCCTTATTTGTGAAACCTATGCTAAAGTATAACTTCACATGATGCTCGACATTCCTCATTTCAGGGAAGAAAGGGCATCCTGTAGGAGTTGTCATAAAATACTAGTTTATTCTCGTAATTTTAGCACTTTATTCTCTTGCTATTACGACGTTAATCATGTAATTTTATGACAATTTTCCTTGTGTTTTATCCCGTAAATTACGAATTTATTCTCGTAATTTTACAACTTTATTTTCGTAATGTTACGACTTTATTCTCGTAATTTTACAACTTTATTTTCGTAATGTTATGACTTTGTTCTCGTAATTTTACGACTTTATCTTCATAATGTTACAACTTTATTTTCGTAATGTTATGACTTTGTTCTCGTAATTTTACAACTTTATTTTCGTAATGTTACGACTTTATTCTTGTAATTTTACGACTTTATCTTCGTAATGTTACGACTTTATTCTCGTAATGTTACGACTTTATTCTCGTAATTTTACCACTTTATTTTCGCAATGTTA